GATTTAAAACCTTTATTCAAATCTAAAGGAAGTTGCTTTTTGGAAGATCTTAAGTAAAAGTGATAATTATTATTCATAAAGAACATTACAATTATTATTTTAATTTTTTCTTTGTATTTTTTTAATTATATCTTTTTTTTGGCTTTATTCTTAATTTTGATTAATTAAGATTCATACAAGTTTTTCAAAAGTATTCCATTTTAAGGAAATGTATTGATTGAGATCTCCTTATATATTAATTAACATTTATAGAGATTTAATATTAAATGATATTACATTAAATTAATCATCACAGAGAACAGTATGCACAGATTTGAAGTGATTAAAATAAAGATTGATTTAAATTACTTAATTGAAAATTAAATTACCAAAATTGCATGATTATTTCATAATATATTCTGATAATTTAATTAATTTATTACTTATAAAGATATAATTAATAATTTTGTAAAATTAGTTTATAAGTAGTAAAAGATATATTTAATAACAAAGATAATAATAAAAAAGATATGACAAGAATTAAAAAAATAAAGTTAATCTTAGAATATAATCTAAACTATATAACAAAAGTTAAAACAATATCATATTGTTTAATTTTAGCACTACTCTCAATTCAAGAAAATGTATCAATCACCTGTTAATTGATAAGATATTAAAAAACTTTCAAAAAATATACTAATCATTAAAAAAGTAGTATATTTTTGAATATTATTAAGATTTAAGGAGATAATTATATCTTCTCTAAACGTATTATATATGAATCTTCATTATTGATTAACTTGAGCTAAACGTGAAATTTTACATACATCAAATAATAAACAGTTATTACACAATGTATAATCACTGTTGTCCCTTCAAAATGATTTTTACAAAATTAATTAATATCTAAACCAAAAATAATATACCTTAAAATTTTAAAAACTCATCAACTGTTAAATTTTTAGATTAAGAAATTATAATTGGTATGATTTTACGCCTCCATAAATAATAGTGGTAAAATACTTTCCTTTTTCAACTCTATTAATGTATTAACCCCTTCTAATATGCGATTAATTGGATAAGAAATCTATAGAACTAACTAAAAATATTTTTTATTCCCTTATTAACAGAAATTTAATTTTATAAACATGAATTTATATTACAGTAGCTCCGTGCAATTTATTGTTTAATTTCGAAATTCAATCTTCTTAATGAATATAATTTTTATATTCTTCAGATAATTTTAATTCCTCATTTTCTCCTCCTTCATCTTCTCATTTTTTTTGACTTTAACTTGTTATTATTCATGATTTCACTTAATTAAATGTATTTTAAAGAATGAACAGAAAAATTTTAATAGTTAACTGAAATCATTAATTATGCTTAAAAAGAGATGATCAACAAGAATGAATGAATCAATCATGGAACTCAAATTATACATCAATAAAAATACTAAATTAAGTATATAGATATTCTATATTATTCAAGAATTAATCTATGCAGATGTTGAAATGATTTCTCTCTAGAATATTCTACCTTTTCTATCATCAATTCAAAATCTCCACAAAGTCTAAGCTTCTAATTAACAAAAATATACAAGATAATTTTATTGATTTGTAGTATATAACTTAAAGTTAGAGTATTAGAAATTCATTATTAAATATAAAAAAGAAAATGCAAGGCTCTTTTTAAGAGAAGGAAGCTCTAGCTGACATATTTAGTTAAGTTAAGAATGTAGATGAAGATATCTTTGGAGTCATATTAAAAATATTAAGAAAGGAAAGAGTTTAAGATTGTATTGGATATCTTTCTGATAATAGAAATCAAATAAATTTAGAATAATAAATCTTACAACAAATAGAGAATATCACCCAAGCTGATGCGGAATAAAAATTGTCTTTTATTTCAAATGACATGAAATAAATTACAGATGTATTAAAAAATTTAAAAGATCATGAATTCAATTTGAAAGACTATTCCTCATAAGCATTTTAAGAGATTAAAAAGGAACTGATGAGTAAGATATAAGGTGAGAAGAACATGATTGAGTTATTAAAATTCTTAGTCCAAATTACAAGTATAGATGATCAATTCATCTAATGTGGATCCAATTCACTTCATATGTTGGTGATGATGAAGATAGATATGAGAAACTAATCATTTGAGAATATCAGGATGAAGAATACTTCTTTGATTGGTGGTAACTTTGTTAGATGTAATATGAATGGATCAGAATTTGAGAATGTGGATATTAGCGGAGTCAATTTTAATGG